TGGATCCATTTTCTGTGGCCACTGGAACAAATTACACATACTGGGGCAGTTAAGCCATCCCTGGGTGGCACACATGGTGAAATGGTTAAAGGTTCAGTGACGAGCCAAAAGAGTGGAGATTTGACTCCTCCAGGGGCACCTTGGAAGAAAGGCCTGGCGATCTGCTTCCAGAAAAACCACAGCCTTGAAAGTCCTACACTTCACTCGTGGGGTGCCCAGGAGTGCAATGGAATGATGTCAACTGGTCTGTTTCTTTGTTTGATGGGGGGCGGGGGGTAAGCTTAAAGCCACAGGACTTTATCGTCACTCGGTTCTGAGAACAGATGTCTGAATCCAGGATCTGGCAGGGTGGGGGTCTAAAGGGGAGCCTCCTTTCCCTCCTGCAGCATCTGTGAGCTCGGGGCTCCTGGCTGTGTCGCCATCTCTCCAATCGCTGCTCCCATCCTTTCACAGTCAGTTTTCTGTGTGTGTCTGCTTCTCTGTAAGGACACTGGTCACTGGATTCAGGGTTATGTTAGGCTGTTTCCTAGAGAAACAAAGTCAGAAGATATTTATAGGTGTAAATATAAACACATACATGTATGTGTGTGTTCGTCCGGGTAGACTAGAAAAACAAATTCATGGACATTCATATGTGTATAAGAAAGAGCTTTATATAAGCAATTCAACATTAAGAAAACATCCAAGCCCAGTCCAGATCAAGTCCATGAGTCCGATATTAATCCGTATGTCTGATACCAATCTATAAAGTCCTCTTCAGACTCACGAAACACATGCAATGACTCCCCACCCCCCACAAAACAGAGCCACACTCTCAAGAAGCTGTTGCCACTAGGACCTGATTGACAGGTTGGACTCCACTCCTAGCTTTAGATACCTCACGTGAACATTCACTGGAACATCACAAGGGTCTACCCTGGCCAACCCCCACGGAGGCAGCAGTCGGGAAATCAAAAGATGTACAGCGCTGGGCAGATCTGCTGCACAGGACCTCTGTAAAGTGCCACAGAGTAAAGAGATCACTGTGAGGACTCGGGCACACCTGACCCAAGTCACCTCGTACACATGCCAAAGCTGGCCGGCCAGTACAGAAGTGACCACTGAAGAGAAGTGGGTGCCTTTGAATTATGGTGTTGACCAAGCATATGAAACTTACCACGGGCTACCAGAAGATGTACAGCCAAGTGCTCCTTAGCGGTGAGGCTGGTGAGATTTTTGAAACCCTGCAATGGGATGGATTGACAGAGTGGCTGCAGCAATGGGCTCAAACACAAGAACGGTGAGGAGGGTGCAGGACCAGGCAGTGTTTCACACCGTTGTGCATAGTCACTAGGAAGGCTCCCAACAATGCAATGAACTTGGAGTGATCTCATCTGAAGTTAATTGCATCTGCAAAGACCCTGTTTCGAAAGAAGGTCACATTCACCGGCACCAAGTTGTGTTAGGCCGAGTTGTCCA